GTTGCGTTTTCTTATGCTAAATGTGAATTTGGTCCCCTCACTCTAAAGCTATTCTTAGGAGCCTAAAAGTAGAAATGTTAACAATAAGGTGCTTCACTGACAGTGTTACAAAGGACAAATTTCCTCAGTACGGAAGTCAAAAATAGGTAACCTTATGACAGAGGTAGCATTAGGACAAATTGCTCTGTGTTTGACTTGTGATTGAACCATGAGATCACCGTCAGTAGTTCACAAAAAGCTGGATATTAAAAAAACCTCCCACAAACGCTAACATTTTGCAGGCAGATACATCAGAGGATTTACTTTCAATAAACAGTTTATTTTATTACAAGACCTGTTTATTTTGTTAAAAAAAGTAAATGTGGGGACATTCTAAGTTTTGGGTTTTTTTAAAAGCATATATGTAACTATAAACTATCCAAAAAAGTAACTTCAGTTATCATCGTTTAGAATACACTGAAAAAAAATCTCTCCTGAAATAGTTGAAGAATCTCTACTTTATTGACCTTACCCAGAACATTAAAGTGACACAAAGTGATAATAATGTTTAAGGACCTCAGGGACTATTAATTTCCAAAACTTAGCATTCAAAATAATGGATCATTTTTACAGTTATTTCACCATTTTGGTTTTAAGTGCTGAACCTTCTTTCTACAAATGTAGCTATGCCAATTTATTTTTTTTTTATTTTTTTTTTTTTAGTTTGTAATTGCTTTGTATAAACAACACAGAACAGTCAATGTCCCTACAAAAATAGGTGTCCTCTCCATACTGACACCCTTTGGTCATCTGGACAAACATAAGTCACAATAAACTGACCAACTAGCACTTACTGCAGTGAGAAATTTATTCTACTTTAGTGACTTGTGTATCTCTGAATTTTCAGTGGTTTTCATGCTATCATGATACAGATGTACGAAAAAACATAACCAACCAAAGGAAAGGAAAAAGATGTGTGGACACACATCACTATGGGGACACTGTTTTGGACAGTGGCGTTTCCTGACTTCTCCTTCCACCCTAAAAGATGGATCCTCAAGTCCTTCTCAGTCCCCGATCTAGAGCAGAAGTGAAGGGATTGGCACAAGCTCGGCACAGGAGGCAACGTTAACTGCATTGGCTCAGTTCCCCTCCCTCTAGACAGAAGAGTAGAGCACAGCATCTCAGGTAAACCAAACTTTATGATGATGTAGCTTGAAGAACAAAATAAATTCAACACTTCAGTATACACACACCATCTAAAATTGAATCACAAGAGAACTAAGACCACACTAAGCTGCTTTGATTCTGCTCATGTTTGTAGCTTTTCTGATGTTGCCACCTCCTCATCTGAAGGAATTTTACTTGCCTCTGCCAGCTTATACGAAGTACACAGCAACATTAGAGTTTCCTTTTCTGTATTTACTGTGAAATTTCCCTATCTGCAAATGGTTAACAGAAGGTTTAAAATGTGATTAGGCTTGTGGCTAGCTTTCCGCACAGGGATAAATTCCATTCACAGTGGAAATCTGGGAAGCAAATGTAAGTTACTGAGCAGGAATAAAAACTTAGTAATAAATCAACAGACTGGAAATGACCAAGTCTGAATAAAGCCTTCAAGGAATTTTAATTTTGACAAAACTCATAGTTTTTATGTACTAAGAAAACCCGATTCATTTTTTATTTTGTTTTTATTCTGTACAACACAACTAAGGCCCAGAATATCTTCAAAGAAGTTTGGAGCTGGCCTTGAACCACAATCAGGACAGTTTTGCTCTTAACTAGGCATTGTCTCATTTTAGAGTGAAACTCCACAGTCTTGCAAAGAACGAAGACTGCTCATGTGCAATTTTGGAAGCAGTCCCATAACAAGTGTGTTTAGCAGCCATGCCTTGGCCTGGCCAGAGTCTTTTTCGAATGCCAGAGACAGGAAGTATTTAAAAAAAAAAAGTGGAGAAAAGGACAGGTACCAAGTAAGGGCAGCAGAGTTTCCCTTTCAAAAGAAAAACAAGACAAATCAAAGTGATTCTAAAGCTAAAAGAGACAAAGCAGTAATTAAAATAACACCAGACATTCAACAGCTAGTAAAATTTCCTGAGAAAGATAATTGGCTTAACATTCAAAGTCCTGAAGGCTGATCAAGTCCCGACTTATGATCCTGCCCTCACACAGTAAGCCTTTTTGTTGCCACAGAAGCCAAGGCTCAAAGGTGACCGATTTGCAGACTGCCTTCCAAATGAGATGGCTCACAGCCAGCAAAGTGAAAACCCAGGGTGACTCACTGCCGGAAAAAGCTACAGCAGAAACTAGCCTTTGCTTCTGAAGTGCTAAGCATTTACATGCAAACAAGTTCTCATTTTGTGAAAGCCAAGTGAGTTTTGGACACAAAGCAAACGGATCCGTTTGAAAATCAATTTGTATTCCCAATTGGCAGATCTTCAGCTCTGAGGCTAGCTATCCTGACCATAAGGAGATCGATGAAAAAGTCTTCTCTCCCCTTGTGTCTTTAAAGATGGGCAGATAAACTTCTCCTTTTGTCACCAGATTTGTTTCTCTGACCAAATAAGTGAAAAAAGGAAATGGTGTCACCCAAATTGCAGGTTCACAAAAGACAGATTGATCCCTTCAGAAATGACAGCATAAAAAACCCATGCCCTGTCCCCAAGACATCATAATTCTCTTCAAGGTCCTGCAACAGCAGCATGGCCATAACAATGTGTTTTCATCAGGAACTTTACCTGATCCTTCAGAAGCAGGTACCCGCGGGTGTCCTGCAAGACTTCCAACCTATTCTTAAAGGACCCCAAAACATTCCCATCGCAGCTATTCCCTGTAGCATATCTCCAGTACGGACCATCAAATCCATGTTTTTAAAATCTGACCATGACATTCTAATCCAGCAACCAAGACTTTCAGGTATTCTCTACCTTATTGAGCCTTCTGCATCTCATGAGAATCATAAGAGACCTCTGGCTTGAGATAGGTCTTTGGTTTTACAAAGATCTAGTAAGCACTGACTGAGACAGAAGTGTCACCCGAAAGAAACATCTATATTTCATCAAATCAAAGAATGAACAAGCAGAACATATCTGTAGTTTTTCTAACTTTCCAAGGATTAAGAGGCCAAACTCTGCATTGAAACAACTTCAAGGGAGAGCTTCAAAGGAGGGAATGCTGGATGACGTAGTAAGGACACCCGTAGCTCCTACCTTTTGGGTAGAACAACTGCTGGCAGATTACTTGTCAGAATTTAGCTTCCACTCCCAGAAGTTTCCTTTTGGTCTTTACAAGTAGAATGCATGTGCTATTGGTTAGGACCAAAAGCCTCAAGAATACATATACAATTTTTTCTTGACTTCAGCTACTTATGCCAAGTATTTATTGACTTGTTAGAACATGCAGACCATACACTTCTAGCATCAGTTCTTGATATTTTAGCAAGATTTCCCCCCACCCCTCTTTTCCTGACTCAAGCAGCAGTGCTTTGCTCATGCAAATTGCCTGGTAACTATTTTCAGAGCAACTATCAAAGGAAGATGGGATCAGATGTTTGCTAAAAGAGATGTTTTTGTACCACTACTGAAACAATATCCTGCGTTTCCTTCTTATTTAGCAAAGAAGGAGAGATGGAAAAATAGGGAAGCAGTCAGATGACAGTGATGTCAAAAAGCCTCTAAGAAAAGCTTTTTAAAAAAGTTGACAGTTGGTGAGCTCACAGCAGTGTGCTGCTGATACGGCTGCAGTGGCCAGCATGCTTGTAATGACTACTGATGCAGAGTCATATCTAGGGTGTCATTTGTTGCAAGTCTGAATGCCCATCTAAATGCTGTGATAAAACAGCAACTCCCATTTAGTTTGAAAATTAATCTTATACGAAATAAGGCAAGAGAGAATGACAGGAAACTGGAAACGACTGCAGACCCACTCCTGTGGAACAGGATAGTGTGAGTTTAAGAGGTGATGGGACACAGTACGAGGACTTCTCTACACTACTCAGCATTAACCTGGGAGAAATCCCCCAAATGCTTCTGAATCTCTCCTTGTACACGCAAAAGTAGTATTTGTTGAAGTGATAAATGAATTATGATAAATTGGTGGAAACATCTGGAACAGACGGCCAGAAAGCACACATTGGGGGGTGGGAGTTGGTTGGTCGCCCTGTCACAGCCACCATTTCACAGTCCATCATGCTTCTCAAATGATGGTAGAGTGAACAGGACTGACAGGAAAGGTCAGGCTGAATGTATCGATAGCAAAAATACCACGTACATTCACTGCACACAAGCTCAAAAACAGTCGGAGGCTTCTCACTGTGCCAGGCTTTAAGTATGCCATAGGCAGTTCCAGAAATATTAGCAACAGCATTTCCTAGACAGTGCTGAAGGTAATTAATGGAGAGGGTCAGCTAGTTCAGTGACTCTTCAGTGGCAGCGTGCAAGATGCTGATGCAGACTTCTTCAGGCTATGTAAGACCGCAGATCCTATTGCAGGAAGAGGAGAAAAAATTGCGAACACAAGGCAAAGTCAGCTAGGGATGGAGGGATAGGAGCAGGCAGCATGGAATGGCCTCTGGATTTTGAAAATAAACTTTGGGACTGGTAGAGGTTCACGCAAAAAAAGGAGACACTGCATTAAAACTGCCACTGACCCCATTTGCATGTTTGCTCTACCTTCTGGCAACTGAACATAAACACTAGACCTGAAAGTTGCCCAGGTCAAGTCTCTAATCATGCACAGTATCCTTACACAGCCTTTACCTGATAGAGTAATCCTTCTCGGGTTTCCTACCAAAGAACACCTGCAGGGTCACATCAGTCTGTGGCACATAGTTTCTATGTGACAGATTTCTTGTAGCGCTCTTGTTTCACAACCCTTTTTCTTCTACTCATCTGTCAAAGGAGTAGCTTAAAATACTCAAAGATGAACTACAGTTCTTTAAAACAACACTCTTTGAAAGCTGGACACTTTGTGCAATACTTAGCAAAAAAATAACAGAAAATAAAAAACAAAACAAAATTTGAGCAAAACAAAATCAAATTTAATGTTCTTAAATGCAAAAGTAAAAACAAACAAAAAACACAAAAAAGCAAAAGAAAATTAACAAACAGAACAACTCAAAGTTTCAAGGCAGTCTGCAGAAAACTTGGGGGATTAATCTTTAAATCTACAAATCAAAGGGTTTTTTTGTTAATATCTAACTTGCAAGTAGTAAGTACTTTTCTGCTGAGTGTTCAATAAGTAAAGCTAGTTGTCAAAACAAAATCCTATTAAAATAGAAAAGTCTAGCACTCATTAGAAGGGATGCGAGAAATACAATGCTCAAATGTTTATAACTGTTTTTTCTTTACAAAATAGAACTACCAAAGGAATTCAAACTATAATGATCTTTGAAAATGCGTAAGTATCTTGCTGCATTATAATGTACCAGTAAGTAGTGCACCATGCATTAAGTATTTGGACAGAAGAGATTCAGTTTGATAAAGTAGCAACATATATTCACGCTCTTTTTGGAGTTTCATTTTGACTCTGAAATCTTCCCGGAGTTTCTTTGAAACTCTTTGGTCCATTCCTATTAGAAAGTGGGCTTTAAAAGTAATGTTTCTAAAACCTTTGAATTTGACAGCTTGGCCACTGCTCATTGTGCAACTTACCTCATCAATGGTGTTAAAAGTTATGCTGGCATGCTACTACTTACAAGACCTTGACTTTAAAAAGCCTAATCCTCAACTATATACGTAGTAATGAATATTAATTGATCAAACAATTTACTGTCAACTAAAATATTAGTATTTCTCAACTTTCCTTCCATACTACCGAGTCTGGGGTAGAGAAGGTCAGGGGAATGGGTAGGAAAAACAACAACATAAAAAACCCAAGAAAATTAATGAATTCAGGCTGATATTTTTCAGAAAATTCCAGTTTTTTGCAGACAACATTCAATGGAACAAATGTTAGTCTCATAAGTGAAAGCATGCTTGAATTTTACCACCATCCAGAGGGTCTAGTTAATGCAATCTACTTAAGATCTCAGGGGATTTAACATGTTTTAAATGAAATAACTTAAAGAAACTTAAAATTGGTCTAACATTGTGGGATTTCAAACATTTGAACATGTCAGTTGCATCCCAGAATATAAAACCTTTTTCACTTCTCATTTAGACTAAGACAAACACTTGTGAAAATTGGCGCAAAATGAGTTTTACACTAACAAAAATGTTTCAACTTCTGTCACTCAATTATCTATTCCATACAAAAAGCACGAGCAAGTTATTTGTGGGACTTGTTGGTTTTGAAGGAAACCTGTAAGATTTTGTCCCCCAGGCGGTAGCCATTAAGACTTGCTATGGCCATTGCAGCTTCTTCATAGTTTGTCATGGTCACAAAACCAAAACCTTTGCACTTGTTGGTGTTGAAATCTCGAATAACTTTCACATTGGTAACCGCACCAAAGGGGCCAAACATCTGCCAGAGGATTCCCTCATCAGCATCTTGACCAAGGTTGTAGATGAAGATACACCAGCCAGAAGATGCGTTTCCTGGAACATTTACACCAGAAAGCCCACTCATGTGATCTACACCCATAGGAGAGAACCTAGCAAATAAAAAGCACAATATTTCATGTAAAAGTTCAATTCAATCAAGCAAATTAACTTGAATGGGAGGCAACTGAGAATGAATATTTTCTACATGTACATCAAAACCGCCAGAAAGAAACGTTTCCCCATTCAAATTGACAATCAAATTGACAGCTGCCAGGAAAAAAAGTTAAGTATTCCAACTACTTTATCAATAGGGAACTATCCTTAGAAATAGGCAGGCAACAGAACAGTTGCAAGGCAAGATTATGTGATCACCTTCACAGGGGACCTGGATCGATCTTTAAACTCAGCTACGCTCTTAAGAGTGCTCCGTGGCATCAGTGCAGAATTGCTCAAGTGCAGATAACAGGCAACACCTCCCCAGAGGCCCCAGCTTGCTTCAAGCCACCCTCAGGCATCTCTCACTTATTTCACTCAAGGAGTTTGCATCCCATATCCTCATTTTCTTGCCTCTAAAATAGCACATTGGGAACTCTTAAGTCAAAGGGTTTCTTTGGGTTCTGCTGGGGCAGGGTGTTTTGATTTTTGGAGTAGAGATTGTGTATATTAACTTAAATTTCTTTTTTTTGTGGAACAGAACAAAACGCACTCCCTTTTCCACCATAAGGCAGCAGGTGCAAGCAAACACTCCCAATACGAGCAGGCTACTAAATGAGCCACAGTCATGCATACTCACAGCTATTAGGTAGCAAAGGAATTATTAGGACTCCCTCAGTCAATTCTCTGTAGCTGGGATGCCCCACATTTCTAGCTACAGAATTTAAATCTCCATTTTTTATTCCTTAATACTGGTTATGCAGATATTCTAACTGCAGTAGGTTTCAAACATCAAAATAGCACACCACATTTAAGTACAGAGTTTTACAATTTCAGTATGCATATATGGGTTTCTTCTCATTAATTTTCCATCAACTTCATATTAGGAAAACTTATCTGATTTTACTGAACTGGATTTTTTAAAATCACCTACCCACTCTTCCTAAACCCTGCCTCCTGCATGGTACCCCAGCAGTATTTATGCATAACAAAAAGCAAAAAATCTCTCCTTTTTATGACTTGCTTCATATTATTTTATTTTCTCCTGTAACCCACATCTCTAACTCCCCTTTATTCTATCTCTGGTCTCCATCCTAGAAATTCAAAGCTTCAGAATATTTTAATGCAATAGGATGGTTGCACAGCTAAGCACTCAAAGGTCAGGAAATGTTAAAGTTAAGGTAAAAAAAAACCTCAATTTGATCCCTTGTGCTTATGTATTATTTAAAAATGTGAGGTCACGTGATTGTAGAAATATAATTATACTATACCAGGGGTTCCCAAACTGTGGTGTACCACTGGTGATATGCAAACCACTTAAAAGCGGTACACGTGCTGCTCTCTGCCAAGAACATGGCGGTGGCAGTTCCTGATTCTCTGCTGACCTGGAGAAAACAGGGAATGGATGTCTGGGCAGTGAAAGCTGCATTAAGTGCCAAACACTTCCCCACTTTTTCTTGCCCTGCATAAAGATAGGAGCTGCTGCCGTCTTTATACAGAAGAGAGGGCTCAAGGCAACATGTATCAGAAGGAAGGGGAGCAGAGCTGCAGCAGCACACACAAACACACAGGGAAGTCAGCTGATGTTCAGTGTGGACTTCACCTGATGCACTCATACAGAAGAACCACTTGGTCACCATCTCCCCTGCCCCAGGCTCTCTGGTGCTCAGAGGGAGCTCATTTCCTTGGACACCTGAGCTATCAAACCCTCCTGTACCCAGAGCAAGGGGAGTCTCGGTGGTACAGACCCCTTCCCCTCCATCACACCCTAGCTGCTGGCAACTGCATGGAGGCAGCCAGAGCTGAGCTGGCTCAGCCAGGCTGGAGCCCAGCTGGTTTCCTGAGCCTGCTGTTACTAGAGCACAGTGTGGACACACCTGAGCTCATGCTGCACATACTCACTGCCGCTGCCACTGATGGCCGGCCCCAAGCAAATCCAAGTTTGGGAATCCTTGTACTACAGTAAAACTGGAAAAGCAGTTAAGAGTATCAGAATGTGAATGAGATGCACTAATCCATGTGATCTGATGGTTACGTGACATATCTACTATTTATTTTGCTTTTACATAAAAAAGTTTGTGTTTGCATGCTTTATCGGTTTACTTTTTCTGACAGATACCTTCAGCTCTGTAGCTTCTTTCCAATTGAGGAATGATCTGGTAGGACACATTTATCTTAATATCTGGAAAGTTTTCATCTCAACAGACCACCAATCTTGGGTTCCTGCTCACATGTATCGGGAGCAGAAAATCAATAAGCTCAGAATTGCATGATGTTGGTTCCAGCAGTCAGTGTAGCTCTGAACCTCCTTGCTATAAAGCCTTGGGCTCTGCCTACAAGCCCAGATCAATAGTACATCAAGGATTGGAAACACTTGTGGAAGAGCAGCTGGGGGTTGAATGCAGGAAGACAGCAAATCTAAATGCGTATTACAGGCAAAAAAATTTAAAATAGCAAGTACCTCTGTTCGTTGGATACACTAATTTTCAAACAGATTCTCTTCCTGCTTTGACTCAAAAATCTTACAGGTTTACAAAAATACCAAAACCAAACCAACACAACACACCCAGGGTAAAAACACCCCTAAAAGACTTGAAATTAATTAAAAAAAACAACACACAAAACACAACCATAAGAAACAGCACCTCACACATAACATCCCTCTTACCCAGATCTAATATGATTCTAAAGTGAAGCTAGACTTTGCAAGTTCACATGAAATAGAAGCCTTTCACAAAAGCTTCTGGTTGGTTAAAAAGCAACCATCAAAAGAGAAATTTGCAAAAGCGACAGCAAACATGGTGTGGGATTAGACCTATGTGGAAGGCTAAATTTATGTTTAGACTTGCATCCACCTGGAAGCATCACACAGGACATCTGGCATGAATGAGAACACTCACGATGAGTAAAGCGGGCTCCTACTGCAATTCAGCTGATCTGATAAATCTCTGTGCTTATCCTGGACTGAAGGCCTGCATAAGAGGGACACAAGATCTCTCGGTTAGCTTGGGATAAACAGCCTGTACGTAGCCAGGCAGAGTAGCTGACACATAATACCTCTTTGTCCTACAAGATATTTTTTCTTTTTTTTTGACCACACACATTTCAGATGATTTTTAGGAAGTTATACTTATCAAGGATGTTTAAAAGACTGTCTGATTTGGGCAAACAATACTAAAGCCCACAGAGATCCAAGATGTTTCAGAGAAAATGTTTTTAAAAATTCCATTAATACTGTAATTTGAATGATCTCAGTCTTATCATACTTACTGCTGGTGTCCTCATTTTTGTTGTATTTATTTTATACTGTCTCCTCCACATTGCTTTTTCAATCCTTCCTAAGCATCTGTACATGATGTTATCTATGGATGGTTCTTTTAAGTCATGCTAACCTCAAAATTCCCAACATCTTGTGACATTAAGTATCAACACAGTATATTTTTAATTGTAATCTTTTTCACTTTAAAAGCTTCTCATTTATATGAATGACCTTTTGCTCTACCGTTATGAGACAGATTGCTTCATTTAATAGATTCTGCAATTACTTTAACACACTAGAGGACACAATCTCAGAAATTATACTCCTAAATGAAAACGATTTATTCTTAGTTCTAAGAAAGTCCTATGAATTCTTTTTGCTAAATTCTTTTTACCAAATTCTGAGAACACCTATATACAGCATCATAAATAGGAGTAACGCCACAGCTTACACAATGCTAATAAGCAGTAACATTATTTTTAATATTAGCCTATGTTGCCTTCGCACATGAACTTGACATCTTTTTGTTTTTTAATACAGGAGTTCAACTACACTGATACTGTTCACGTCCACTATTTTCCCCACAAGCAACTTTTTCTCCTACACCCTGAGACAGATAGGAACAACTACTGCGGACAAAACAAGCCTTGTTGAGAATTCAGTGATAGAAGCTTTAAGCCCAAAATAACAGGGTATTAAATCAAACAGCCACATATCACAGAGCAGCAGTAATCAAAATAAGGGGTTTCGGTACCACATTCTTCTAGAACTTTGATGAAATACTACTCTGCATGAAATGTTTTCTTCTGTGGCATTCTCAACGCAGACAACTTGCATCCAAATTACAAGTTGGCTTAAAAGCTGAAAATTTAAAACCATTTCACTGGAGTGAAACAAAACAGATATGTAGGAGCTGTCTGAGCAATGTCAGTGATAGGGTTAAACACTCTAGAGTCTTCTCGCATTTCCTCTTGATCAAAGGATTATCAAGAAATAACAACTCCCCTTCAGGCATTTTGGATCTAACTCATGGACTCCATTATCAATAGAAGTATGCCCATTAAAATAAGCGGCAACTGGCTCCAACCCTGAACAAGTCTGAAAGCAAAAACAGCTGAACTGGGAATATTTTTGAGATTTGAAAGAACATTCTTCTATCATGAAGCTCTGGTGAACTGTAAAAGCATAGGACTTCTAGGGACTTCGGCCAGCCTTCTCAAGCTCTAGGAGCTAAACTCCGTAATTTCAGCAGAGTTCAACACCTATTCTGTTTAAGTAAACGAATCTTACACTCGAAAGAAACCCTTGCCCCAGATGTTTTATCTATCCGCCAAACACAATCCCATGCTGCAGCGTCATTCCTTCTGGATGGAAACAGAGAGTGCTTTGGACCACATCTCAGAACGAGCAGGCCAACCCACCACTCCAGTGAGACAAGGCATTAAGACCAGTTCCTGATGTGAGCCACAAACACCACAGGAACTACAAAGGATTAACAAAACATTAAACAAAGGGTCTGAGCGATATCTGTAGGAAACGAATAATTACAAATTAGAGATACTAAAGGCGTAATCCTGGATTTACAGGGATATGATGGAACAAGATGAAGTGTAATCAAAATGTCAGTTTAAGTATTCAACCTCTATGTAGCAGAGACCACAACTGTAATTTATACAGACTGTGAGCTCTTTGGAAGCAGCTTATCCTTTCATCATGTTTTGTTTGCTACACAAAACAACCAAGACTCAATCCAAGCTAAGGTTCCTAAGCTTTACCATAGTATAAATAATTATAACTCATTAAAAGTTCAGCATCCTTCAAGGAAGACTCACTAGAAAAACTTGCAGTTAACACCAAAGGTGGGAAGAAAAATAAGACAGACTGTGGGATGGTGCATGTATTATGCATACACGTACATACATGCACTCATGTATGTGTGATTGAGGGACGCAAGTTTTACAATAAGCATTCAAGTTCTTGCAAGTCTGTGACAAGACATGAAGAGAAATGGACAATTCTTGTGTTCAACTGGTGAATCTTGTCTCCACAGCATATTCATAACAGCATGACTTAACCCAGAATTGCTCTATTACTACCTCTGTCAATCTGTAGTACCTAAAAATCTTCAGCTCTTTCTCCCTCAGCAAGTATATAACTAGAAGCAGAAGTTGGCCAAAATGTGTTGACAAATGAGCACCAGGCACAGACAAGTTGAGTGGACATGGTTATCACAGAAGCAGGAAAAAGAGAGAAAGTTTTTATCTAGCTTATCCACACTTGCGAAAACCCATGCCTGTAGAAACACAGGAAATGCAGGCAAATAACATTAATGCTGCTCTTAGAACAAAGAACAAACTGGTCATTAAAATTTAGTTTCACCTGCAACTATTAACATAAATACATTAATCATTTTTACTGTTCCTGAGTGATCATTACAGGACTGAATTAAAGTTAGTTGGTACCTTAATTATGGATGTGAATATTATTTGTACTACTTATTCTGATGCATCTTAATTCTGTTATAAATCTTATGGGGAATGATGATGATGAAAATGTCCAATTACATTAAGAATGAAAACATGAGACAAGCCTCAAGATTTTACTAGGACCAGGACACACTGAAGCCCTGGCTGACACGAAAGAGATGTGTAAGTTTATTAATAGTCTCCCTAACTGCCAACAATGTAGAATTCCATTCTTTGGTCCAGCTTAGAAGGTTTGGGTGCAGAGATATGGATGAGTGCTTCAGGGAAACAAAATCTTGTTTGAGGAGCTGCCTGCATTAAACTTGCCTGGGCTACAGTTGAAGAGAATCAAGAGAATGACTGAAGCTGGCAGGGACCTCTGGAAATCCTCTAGTAAACCTCCCTGTTCAAAGCAGGGGCACCTACAGCAGGTTGCTCAGATCAGTTCCAGCCAGGTTTTGAGCATCTCCAAGGATGGACACTCCACAATCTCTACGGGCAACCTGTTCAATGACCCTTAGTGTAAAGCAACAGGTGACTATAAAGTACTAATTCTCACTGGAGACACATTGCACCTAGTTGTTCTTAATGCTAAACTAAAGTATTATGGAAAGGTCACAGCAATACTGGAACAGTAGCACTGCAAAAAGCTATTTGAGTTTTTAGTCCAATTTTACTGAGCTAACTGAACACCTCAGAGGAGAAAAAGAAAAAAAGAGTATGTTCAACAGGGAAACACTACTCTCAAACTCTGACGAACATATCTCACAACAAAGCCACTTACTTATCTGCAAGACAGTAAATATAATGCATCTTCTAGAGCACAGTCCAACTATCAATATCCTCCTTTAAGCCACTAAGGCCATTCAAATTCAAGCAATTCATATTCAAAGGCACTAAGGCAATTCTCAAAGGCAAAATACACAGTATATACCACTGCTCTGGAAGCAGACAATATGCTGCAATTACTCAATAATCTTACTGAACTCCTGAGGACTCAAGGAAAGACAGAACACCACACAGCTCAAGATGTAGGCAGAAATCCCACAGAATATCTTCAGAAATAAGGTTTTCCTATTTACCTATGACACCTCCCTGCTGGAACCAATGGTTCAGAGCTTTAGTTAAGATGCCGAATTATATCTGCATTCAGATATCTGGACTACAGAATGGGGATCTGTTGAGACAGGCATCTAACCAATACCCATCTGGAATCTGCTACTTTCGATCATCTCACTAGACACTCAATTGTAGAAACAGACATGGTAGTGTACATACCTTTACATAATTAAGTATAAATTTTACAAGTAAGGCTTTACTTTAATCATATTTTAATTCAACTATTTATTTACATAACACTGCAGGACATATAGTGCACTATGTATTCATTCACACATGCTGCAATGAAGATATTACTGCACAGCTGCAAGAGTACAGTTTCCCAGATGGACATGGGAATAGTACAGCCTTAAATGCATTATTCTTCCTAACCTACCTGAATCTTTGCGCCTGGTGATGCACTGGCCCTCCAAACCGTCTAGCTGGTGAATGACACAGCTGCGATAACAGTGCCACATTTTTGTTCTGGTTAGGATTGGCTGCAAACTTCACTGTAATGGGTTCGGAGGAACCTGGGGGTTTGTGACCATTGAAATTTGTAATTGCCTCTTCTGCTTCTGACCTTTTGTCAAACCGGATAAATGCGACCCCTCTGGACAAACCTTTTAACCAAACCAATAAAAAAAAAAAAAAATGAAGTTCAGGATAAACTCAAAATAATTTTGAAAGCAAAAAACCAAAAGAGTTAAATACTTCTATGGTCACAGCTTTCAAGTTCTCTACATTTACTAATGTTTCTTCAGCAGCTAGAGGATAAAGTACAAAATTAAGAAACAAAAGACAAAATAACACATTCATTTCAGCTATAACAACCACAGTGACTAAAACAGTAAAAAAATCCAATGTGGTAGAATTCCATGAAAACCATCACCAACTGACATTTCCATTAACAACAAAAAAAGAATCCTCCCAATGTTTTAAATTAATCATATCCCCCCCTCCCCAAAGATTTAATTCTACTTGGTTAAACACAAAACAAAACTCCTTAGCTTTGCAGATGCTTTTTAGTGATAATCAAACACAAAATTGACACTGAAAATACACTCTGGTTCACAGAAGAGGGCACAAAGGTGTAAATATAATAGTTTAACCTTTTGTAATGAAGAGATCACAGTTTCATCTACATCACATCCGTTATTTCTAGCTGTCACATACCTTATTTTTAATTCATGAAAAACTGATTAAGAATTACTTCTTGCTAACTGTACTGAAACAATTACACTGCTGTTAAACATTCGCATAGTTTTTTTTCTAGTTCCAGACCCCAGCCACTGGATACTGTTATCCTTCTGACTGAGGTAAAAGTTATGCCTTATGAGATCTCTTCCCTCCCTTGCCCTTCGTTTCTCATCTGTGACTTGCTCATAGCCTCGAAATATTGTTTATGACAGTGAAACTAAATGGGTATATTTTGTTTAAATTTCATTCCAAAGCAGCTATTATGGCTAGACTAATTCTAGGACTTCATCAGCTCTGTTTCAGAAAGGGTCATATCAAATTCTTTTATGTTGTCTTTATACCCACAGAGGGCAACCTTCAAAGACAGTTTCAGAAGTTGTTTAAGCTTACCATAAATCACAAAGTTGTTTATAACAATTGAACACTATTTCCTATATTTCACAGAAGGAAATGCAGCATGACAAAACCATGGGCATGCAGCAAGCAAGCAAAAGGGCATCCAACCCCTACAATTACCCATATAATGATCTCTAGGAAAGGTGTGGTTTCATTTGGGGCATTGAGAGAACTTCCATAGATAACAACTCATCTTGTTTACCGCGTGTTGTTAAGTATGCAAAGTCACACAGAGAAAACCTATTTCCTAAGTCATTGCACTTTTTGAAGAAAAGAACTGCACCACAACAGCGGGAGATGGCTAGCACCAACTGCACAGCTGACATTTCTAGAGCCATCTGGAAAGGAGTGAACCTCTGAAGAACTTACTCCATTTTTTGATTTCTTGCTGGTTACTTCCAAAACAGGAGGCTGGACCAGATCAGCTCCTCAAATTAGAGCTGACAGCACTATATGCTCCAAAATCATCGAGATTAGTTTTTCTGTGCCAGGAGGAACCACATGCCCCACCCTGGAAAGGCACAGAATAGCAGCATTGCCCAGAAGTCAGCAAGGACCATCACAGAGTCCAACATACTGTTACTACTTCTCCACTTCCATGCTGTTCATCTTAGTGCTTCTCACTTGATCTATCACAGCATTCATTAAAAAATATAAATATTGTAGAAAGCATATTTTTAAAACAGATTAATTCTCAAAAGCTAGAGAACAACCTCTGCTCAGAAGGCACATCTAAAAAGCACAAATTAAAATTTGTCCTAACTGGGACTAGATCAAGGTATGAAATGCAGGTTTTCAAAGCAAAGGCATGGCTACATTCTGGAAGGGAAAGGAAACCTAGGTTATGCATGCATTAAACTTTATAAAGTAAACAGAATACATTCTTCAAACAATACATTATTAAGGTTATTTGAAAGCAAGCAATAGATTCTGACCTGACACTGAATTAGACAGCATCATGCCTCTGCACACTCAATGAAAACGGTATTATTCTTGGAGACGTTTTAATTGTATGACTTCTGTCATCTCATTTTATAGCTCTGTCAAAGACAGATGCTAGCTATCTAGACGCCAGTGGCAGGCAGAGAAGGACGATTATTTTGGACACTTGTATTAATACAAGTTTTCTGTCCTCTAGAAGTCTTTTTCTTGCTTCCAACTATAGCTGTCACCTAGATAACTAGCTCTAGAGATGGAACCATACAGATATTAAAGCTGGACAAAATGAATCCTTCTCTCTAGGAAAGGAAGGATAGGATTTTCCTCACTCAACACTGGAGTGTCTACAATGTCAGCATCCAGATCTCATCTAGCCACCTCAGATTTCTCTTCTTACACACAATCGCATTTACAGTGCAGTCTGACCAAACCAAAACACTTAAAACCAGAGGCCTACACAAGGAGCTAGCTGTGATGGAGATACTTAACATTGTAGACTCTAGCATTTAGTCAGATTAATCCCACCACAAGCTGCTGATGACCTACTCTAAGTTACAGTAGATTCCCACAGAGCATGAAAGTTGCTGGTTAACTACTGTGCATAAATGTACATGCTACCAGATAGAGAAGTTAAATGTGGAATTGCTAGAATTAGATTATCTTCTATTCTAATAGAGCACACGCATAATCAATGAATAAGTGTATTTGTAAAAGTTCTCTCCAAATTCATACATGACACATGGGCTACTAAAAAAAACAACCAAAAAACCACAACAAACCAAAACCAACAACACAGAACACCTAAGGTTCCAGGATAAGCCACACTCTTCAGTTATACAGTCTGAAATAATCAGGTAAGAAATGAAAACTCTGAAAACACTCTGTAACATGGAGTCAGAATTAACATTATAAAGGAAAACCTTAACTTTGGTCTCTCCTGAGCTGAGTGCTTAACTAAGCAAGTTCTCCTTTGTCTTTTTTTAATAAACAAAATACATTCAGAAAATTCAAGAGGGCATTACTAAGTGTATTAATATTAAGTTCATTCTTTTGGCTAGTAGTAACCATAGAGGTCTGTTAAGACACCTCAAATGTTTTAAAATACGAGAAAATTGCGTGAGTTCGTTCCAAGTTGGTATAAAAGACAAAACACTTTATTGTTTTGCTTTTTACGTATAACTACAGCCTGGAATTTACCTGTGGATAATAGTTGCATATGTGTAAAGCAAAGGTAACTTAGCACTCCAGATTACAAACATTGCCCAGAAGCATACTGCTCTACAGTAATACCAAGTATCATCACAAGAGAGTAGATTTGGCAGATCAGCAGTTCAGCCTGGTAAAATTGACAATAAACACGTAAAATATGACACAAGGTTTACACTGTAAGCTAGCAAAGGAGGCAACATTAAGTCATTCTGTGTTTTAAAAAAATAATCATTGAAAGGGATATCCCATTGAAATTGTATCAGTGGTTGACACCAAATGTCAGGTTTAGTTTGTAAAAGTCTAATTTAGTTTAGGAACTGCCAGCCTTGGAAAAAGGTCAAACATGCTATACACTACAGTTCTATGAAGCTAATGCAACAGAACTCACCTGTAGTTTGATCCACAAGTACACGTGAGTTGATGATGCGTCCAAAACGTGAAAACATATCTTCTACATCTTTTTGTGTCATTGACCTTGGTAGTCCACTAATATATAAATTAGCATCCTTGATAACTTCAGAACTTGGACGAGCATAGGAAACCTTTAAAAAGAAAAAAAAAGGTAGTTCACAGTATAAATAGGAAAGAGTAATTTATTTTGTCATGAGTCAGTTTCATTTATTCCCCACTAAACAAAGCAGGCATTTTTTTTTTATTGGGAGTTCAAAACAGCAGAACAGGGAGAAGGTAGGAGGAAATTGCCAGAACTAAAACAGAGAAGTCATGTCTCTACATAACTCCATTCATTTTGGGCTTATCCAACAGATAAAGAATATAGTGGCATTGCTATAAAGAGACAACAGTAGACTAATACCGATGCTTCTAACAAACATATTTGCTAAGCTGAAGAATCTCTGTCTGAAGTTCTAACTCTGATACGGGACCTGTCAGTAACCACAGATCACACAAGAACTTGTGCTGTCGGTGTACTTTTTTAAAGCCTCAAAAAGATTTCACCAGCCTGAGTGTAGCTTTTTATCTTAACTTCAGCTACTACAGAAAGTTACAAATACCACCTAAGCAGGTGTGATTTCCTACACATACAGTGTTAGTTGTTATTTTGGAAAAGGAGTGGATGTGTATTAACACGATTCAAAACAGAGATCATCAAGTATCTGAGATGTACATGAGATCAAAAGCCTGGCAACAATTTGGAATGATCCCACCTACTGCTGTAAAAATAGTGGGAAAGAAAAAAAGAGGGAATCCTTGAATACAAAGCTGTTACAAAACTCGAGAGGTTTAACAGCTCACTTCACTACTCTTCTCCCAGATTCTAACTTTCTTGCAGTTGGAGAGCACACAAGCCTTACCACCAAAATGAAGTTTATTAGAATGCCATTTTCATAGAAGATTGAAAAAAAAAATAATCTAGACATCCTACCTTGATAGTTTTTGACTGAAGTCTGAGGCCATTCAGTGTGTTTATTGCTCTTTCAGCATCTTTTGCAGTAACGTAGTTCACAAAGCCATAGCCTAAGCTGTGTCCTACATAGAAGAACATTTTTTAAATTAATCCTAACAACCGAAAGTTATCACCATCAAAATGAAAGGAAATGCCAATGAGAAAAAGTACACTCAACATAAACATAATCCACACAGCAAATATTTAAATAAGCCAAAGAAGTTTCTCAAGGCTGGCATACTTCGTAAGTAGTAACTCAAAGCTCTTTCATTTGCCACTTTGGACATCCCTCTGACTCCAGGGGAAGCGTGTATCAGACAGCCGCAGATGATCCATCAACAGTAAGAAATTCAAGACTAAAATACCAACTCAACAGTCTTGTAAACTTAATGGGTGTGGAACAAAGGCAAGAATTTAACAAAGTTAATTAGCACAAACTCTTGTAAATAAAAAGCAAAAAGTGAGAAAGCATCAACGGATGAACTGCTAGGTAAATCATCCAGCTACTCATTTCTGTGTAGCTATTCCAACCTCTCCTGGAGACAAGAGGAAAAAAGAAGTTTTCAATCCTTCATACATTCATATAGTTAATGAGCAGTAAGTTTCCCAAACACAGGATGGAACTGAAGAGAGAAAAATTCTCCTTAATGCAGACAATTCATGTACTATTACTTTATGTAAATTTACTCTTAATTCTTACAAAAATAATTTGATAATAGTAATACAAATCTTTAAAACATTTAAGGCAAAGGATATTTATTTGGATACTTATTTGCTCTGCTTCTACCTCCAACCTCCACAAATGCTACTATCAATTACAACACTATATATACTAAGATCATTTCAGGTTGCAATTTCCCAACAATTAGAGGCTCTTATCACTGTAGACCTGAAAATAACTAACATACTTCCAAGACCGTCTCAGTGCACTAAAGCAACTCCCATTCAATAAGAGAGAGACCTTTTTCAGACAACTACTCCTTGTCTCAGCCACCTCTATGGGATTTTCTAAAGAAAACTGAAAGCATGCATAGGAGAATGTGCCATTTTACTTTAAGAATATACTATTTTTAACTTATTATTAAGCTCGGTTGTTAGGCTTGAGAACACTAGAAGACACAGCTAGTCGTTATAGTAAAGGATTCTCTTCTGAAATATAGCCTTTTTTTTAATCACACAGCATGGCTCTGCAATAGTCTTAGCTGGCAGGGAAGTTTTACACTTTCCAGACATTTCAGAACACCAAACACACACCACCCCACCCAAACAAGAAGTCACACTGTGACTATCCTAGCACAAAATGTCAGATAAACTGAAGAAAAGGGCCGTAACAGACACTGCAGATTAACTCCATCTATTGAAAAAAGAATCACCAGGCTACTGAAGGCACTGAGGCCTAAAAGTCTAAAAGTCACAAGGGATGGAAGGAAGCTCCAAATCACCCCCAAAGTGTGATTACTAACAGCATACAAGACTGACAGCAGAACAACTGCAACAGCACAGCTCCCTGGCGTGTCCTCTGCGATTGTCCGCTTTGTTGAGAAACCTAATAGACCAGTAACTCATCTAAACCCAAATAATGTCATCGCCTGTTTTCTAATACATTCCTTGTCTAAACACTCCGAGTTAATTTTTACTGTCTGCTAAAGCTCTTAAAGAAGCCCGATCCTCTCTGTGTTCAACCCTCGTACAGGAAGAATATCCTGTTCTCTTACAGATCCAGCGTTAAATCACCTGCACTAACACAGATCAAACTCCCATGACGCCAGACGCTCTGCACAGCTGTAATGGCAAATCACTCTTTGATAGCCAAGTAGGATTTAACTCTTCACAGGAAACAAATAAATGCAATAAACCCAAGATCTTAAACACCAGCTTCTGCACCTTTATCCTTTAAAGATGCACAGATAACATTGATCAGAATTTTGCAGACGTATCTTACAGGTACCTACAGCATGGGTTTTGTTGATTTCTTTACAACATTTCATTTTCTGTTTTATTAGTCAGAGATGGTGAATCATTTAGATCAAATCTGCTTAGTCCACGACCACTTACCTACTGAGATTCTTTTCCCCTGATTAAGAAAACAATAATTTAACAATTAGAAAAACGATTAGCACCTGGACCCTGGCTTATTTCTCCAGAATCTGACCAAGAAAACAAAGATAAGTTTAAGAGGGAACAAATATCATGCAGACAGTAGGCAATGACTTTTTCCCTCCTAAGAGGGTGGGAAGAGTTCAACAGCCCTCAACGGTACAGCATGCCAGCACCTGCTCTGAAGGCTCAGAGTATCAGCTGCTTTATAGATATTTTCAGTCTGTCCCAAAAGCCACGTAAACATGAATTCCAGCAAACTACTGAATAGAATCACGTCCTAATAAAGTTTATTGAAATAGGCCCTTAAAGACCAGGGAAACAGACTGCCACAAGACTAACCCCTCCGAATCTGAACCACTGAGCCCTGTCAGTCAGGGCTGTCACTGCCTGGGTGGATGCTGCATTGGGGAAGGGGTGACTATATTCTCCTGGCAGAGGAAAAAGAACAAGATCCCACACTGTATAAATTTATGACACTATCTTCAGTAGTCTGAGTCACGGAGATGGGGGGTTCAGCCTATGAACAGTGTGAGTGAGCATCGTTCTCTGTTTTCTTGCAACAAGTTCCCACAGAACACAGTAGGTATACAACTGTTACTTACCCAGCAGCTTTCTTGCAAAGCATCAGACACGTTGTATGTTTATGCATTTTTTGAGATCAGTGACAAGGAAGATTAAACTACTTCGTTTGGGGTTTATCCTGTATATAAGTAACAGCACCCATGGACACACAGGACCAAAAGGGTCCATGTGATCTGGGTCCAGTCCCTGTAATCACAAACTGTACATATTCCCTTCCCCTGCAGAGCTCAGAGGGTCATGATCAGCAGTGCAGAGACTGGTTGGGGAGGCCTGTAGCTAGTGGCGTTCCCCCCAGGTCAGTTCTGGGTCTGGTTCTGTTCAACCTATTCACCAATGACCTGGATGAAGGGATGGAATGTACCCTCAGCAAGTTTGCTGATGATACAAAACTGGGAGGACTGCCTGATGCACTGGAAGGCTGTGCTGCCACTCAGCAAGACCTGGACAGGCTAGAGAGTTGGGTGGAGAGGAACCTAATGGAATTCAACAAAAGGCAAGTGTAAGGTCCTGCACCTAGGGAGGAATAACCCCATGCACCAGTATGGGCTGGAAGTTGACCTGCTGGAGAGCAGCTCAGTAGAGAAGCACCTGGGAGTCCTGGGAGACAACAAGTTGCCCATGAGCCAGCAAGGTGCCCTTGTGGCCAAGAAGGCCAATAGTATCTTGGGGTACATGAGGAAGAGTGTGACCAGAAGAGTACGGTCAAGAGAGGTTCTCCTCCCACTCTACTCTGCCCTGGTCAGGCCACATCTGGAGTGCTGTGTCCAGTTCTGGGCTCCCCAGTTCAAGAAAGACAAGAACTACTGGAGAGAGTCTGGGTCTGTTCAGCCTGGAGAAGACTGAGAAGGGATCTCATCAATACTTACAAGTACCTTAAGGGTGGGTGTCAAGAGGATGGGGCCAGACTCTTTCCAGTGGTGCCCAGCGACAGGTTAAGGGGAATGGACACAAACTGAAACTCAGGAAGTTCCATTTTAATATGAGGAAGAACTTCTGTACTTCAAGGGTGGCAGAGCACTGGAACAGGCCACCTAGAGAGGTTGTGGAGTCTCCCTCTCTGGAGATATTCAAAACCCACTTAGATGTGATCCTGTGCAATCTGGTCTACGTGAACCTGCTTCGGTAAGGGGGGTGGACTAGATGATCTCCAGAGGTCCCTTCCAACCCCAACCATTCTGTGATTCTGTCTGTTCCCCAAAGTACACGCAAGCAGTGACCATATCCCCTTGGACTTCCTCACTGTTTTTGTCTGAGCAAAATTCTGCACCTTTTCCACTTTTAATTTTATACAGGTTGCTCAATGGAATAGGAATAGTATTCCTTATCAAAGAGTTTGAATGCCCTGGGAAAAGAGAGAGCAGGAACATAACGGGGTTTAGAAACAAACACAGATTCAAAAAAGAAGGGTCTGAAAAGTGGCCAGATTACAACAGTTATCAGATTTTCTCATATTTGCTGCAGGCATTTGACAATAAGTTCATACTAAAACCCAGAAATCATAGTCTTGTTAGTAACTTTTACCTGCCACTAGATAAGAAAATATCAATTACCTATCTTTTGCTACAAAAAGCTAGAAAACTAGACCTTCCCTCTTAATCTGTACTTACAACCTTTAAACCACATCAGTGTAACGTTGACTTTACAGTCCTCAAGCGCTAAAAAAAAGTCAGTCCATGCAAAACTGACAACAAAATATATTAACTTACCTTGCTCTAAATATCAGTCTCAGCCATCTCCTGCCACTCAGTTACTAGTCTTCAGCTCTAAATAGGCTAGGATATCTAACACACAACAGCTCTATCACTGCAAGAGGCATGTTCCACCATTCTCCTGATAGATTACTCTTCAGGAATGCCCCCTGCTTCACAGTTTTACTCCTCCTCCTCAACAACCTTCCTTTTAGGGCATAGCAGAAAATATATAAGGAATCAGCATTTATGCAGCATTATGATTTATGTCAAGTGTTTATCTCTGGCAAGGAGACAAATTATTTGCCTTATCATGATGCTAAGAGCCTGCTAGAAACCTACTGTGCAAAACTAGTTCAGTACTGTAACAGTTTTCAAACTGTTTTAGTGGACAGTAATTAGAAAAACCTTTTTAAAAAGTTTGAATATACATAAATGCAAATGTACTCAAGAGACAAAGATTAAAAAAACAAGCAGGTCCTTATCGAGATGAATAATTAACAAAGTGACCGTAAAGCCTAGTTTTAAGCAAACTACTATACTCCTTCGGCAGAAAGAATCTAGTTTTGTTTCCATGATAAAAAGCCCTTTCATGAAAGAGGGTACTCATTTTCTTTCTGTGCATCACTTGGTTTTCTGTCCATGTCCTAGCTCCCTTTCCCAGCTCCCTGAGATGCACCGCTTCAGTTACTAGCTCATTTCTTATTCCCCTC